CTGATGTGAAGAGTCTTTGAATCAGGTTTCCAGCTGATAAGGAAGATGATGTCCATCTCATAGAAGTCTTATTCAAAAATTCTTGCACAGTGGGAACAAACAGCCTTTCAAGCTGTATTCCAAGATTTGCTGCTTCTTGATTCGATAGGAAACCTGTGAGCTCATTAAGATACCATAAAAGGAGGAGAGGGGAAAGTGAAAAAAAAAGAAAAGAAAAAACCCCAAAATAGCAAACCAAAACAAAGCAAACAAGGACAGAGAGAGTAGACTATGCTGCTTTGTAAGAACCACTCTGTTCTTCATCTCCTCTGCACTCTGACTGGTCTGAGAGTCAGTTGGAGAAATGGTGGAAAATCCCTCTATCTTGAAGAGCTGAAGTAAGTAACCCTTATCTTGTAGGACTGAAAGCAGGGAGGTTTAGATTAGATATCAGGAAGAAATTCTTCATGGAGAGGGTGGTGAGGCACTGGAACAGGTTGCCCAGAGAAGCTGTGGATGCCCCATCCCTGGAAGTGTCCAAGGCCAGGCTGGATGAGGCTTTGAGCAACCTGGTCTAGTGGAAGGTGTCCCTGCCCATGGCAGGGGGGTTGGAACTGGATGATCTTTAAGGTCCCTTCCAACCCAAACCAGTCTGTGATTCTATGATTCTATGACTTACCAAACAGAGGGAAAATACTATAAAGCTTTTCCAAAGTGTTGTTTTCCCCAGCAGAAGGGAGGGTTTTAAGAGCCACCTAAACACTGAAAACCTGTTCTGTGCTAGGCTTTGGTGACACATTCTGCTTGTCCACGTGGCTTCTTCACACTTGTCCTACTGCTGCAGGTCGTCTCCCTGTTGACTCTAAACAGAGTCTGTCAAACCCTCACTCGGAGTGTCTCTTTCTTGCTGCAGTTGTCCTGAAATCAGTTCCAGCACTGACACTTATTTTCGCAGTCATGCTGTTAGTAATTCCTCGTAACAAACATCCTGTGCTTTTAGCCATTTTATGGGGGCCATGTTTAATCCGTTCCATGTATTTTGCATTGTACCATCTTCGCTTGAAGCAAGATTGCCTGTTTTAACACAACGTAGAGGAGGGTGGAGAGCTTTCTGTTCTCTGTCACTAGGCCGCGGACGGCCCAGAGCATGTTACTCACAGTGGGGGTACTGAGACGCTGCTGCTTTTTCCCTAGTGGGTTTCTCTCAGTGTTTGGTTTCTATATGTCTCCGTTCTATTCTGAGTCTGTTAGGAGCTCCGCTGGTGTTTAACCAGCAGTAGAAAGTTCGATGTCAACAATAAATCTTCCCTCCACTCTTTCACATGCCTAGTCCTGCAGCGTTTCCCTCACCCGTTGGAATGACAGCAAAAGTCAACACAAAAAGTCAACACGAGTATGGCCTCATCCCTTTTCCTCTTGGTAGTGCCTTCCTTATCAGATTCCTGTTTCCTGATGCTGTGCACTTACTTACTTCAAGGGTAGGTCTATCAATATTCTTCTCTTAATAAACCTTACCAGAACGGCACATCCTGCCTCTTCTTTATGCAAACTTGTTTGCTGCTTGGTAGTTTTCATGGATTCTGCATCCATTATGTTACTCTGAGAAGCATGAAATGTCATTATTTGTGTATATGCTAACAAACTACAAATGCTGTTACCAATTAATAAAATTATCGAGCCCTTAATGACAGTCGAGGCCACAATACTTGATTCTTTTAATCACTTACGTCATAATTTATCAATTTACTTCTCAATTATTTGAAGCAAAACATACTACAATAGTGCTTGCTAATATTCCCCTTGTTCCTATTCTTGGAAAAGATTAAAGAAACAGGCTGTTTGGTTTTCATACTGACCTCTAGTTGTTGTCTAATAATTCCTCCCAGGCTCGATAATCCTGTGTACAATCTCCTTCTGTACAATATGTCAGTCTTGGCATACCTCTGACCATCTGTGTTATCCTTCTCTAGGCCTTGTAAACTCTTGCTATGTCTTCTTTAGGTTAAGGCAACTAAATCTGGGTCTGATGCTCTATTGTCAAAATTTGTTGTATTAGTTCACAGAGTGCTCAAAAATCCAGAACGAAATAAAAGACGCCCTTTCCCACTCTGATGATAGCTCTTGTCAGGGCAAGACTTGCTCTTGCATTTCTCTGTCTCTGGGTTTATTTGGAGTTCTAATTTTTCTTGAAGCATTTGAGATCTTTTTAATGTTTCTTAGAATGCTGTATGTTTTCTGGGCACGGTGATGATGACAGATGTTGAGCTACTGAAGAGAATTAAGGTTTTGATAGTGCAATAGCAAAGTGAGGGAGAAACTGTGAGGAAAGCTGGAAAGTTGGTGTTTCTTTTGTTTGCTTTCAAGCTCAAAATGTGTGTGCCATAGCTTTACTAAATCACCCTTGAAGTAAGAGTGTGTATACGTGTGCATGTGACCAACTCTTTGACAGTGTTCTGCGGTTCCTTCATGACAAACACCAGAGAAAGGAATGATTTGATGGTTGCCTGGAGGATGGTGCTTCTGATCATGAGAGGGAAATGAGCCAACAATTTTTGAGAAGAAAAATCCAGTGAAATTTATTAGGCTGTTGAACCATTTCCCTAAGGGAAGGAATGCCAGTGCCGTCACTCTCATGCAATTCAATACCAAGCAGCATGTATTATTTAATTATATGGTGAAAAAGGAAGGAATAAGATGACTTGATATATTTTGGCTGCTTTCACCATCAAGGATTCAGTTGTACCAAACAGAAAGAGGTAGATCCTGTGAGAATAAACAGCTGCAAGAGCATTTTTTACAGTGCTCATGTTGTATAGAAAGCTGTTTTATTGCTAGAATTCTAGCTAGCTTTGGTTAGCGGGGCTGTATGCAATTAATTCCCAAGTCAGTGGAATTATTTGGGATTCTTTTTAGGAAGCATGAGTGAAAAAAAGCCTTTGGCCTGGGGACCTAAGGTTTAAAGCATAAATTTTAGCATCAACATCTATTGCTACTCAGTAGGATGGCAGAGAGAAAAACAGAGAAGAAAGCACAAAAACTGAGGAGTGGGGAAAAATAAAATATGACTTAAACTGTAGCATTTAATATGGGATGCCATCTTGTGGAAGTTTTTAATATTTCATGTCTTTTTTCAAATCTCTTGCAAGTCTTCCTGACTAATTACACTCTTCAATCACTGTAGGTAATCCTGTTGGCATATAGCAGCCTTGGTCTTTAACAGCCACTCCATCACCTTATTTTTTATGTAATCTGAACTTTCGATGTAATTCAGGGATGGAGAAATCTTACTTTGGGTTGTAAGAAAGGTATGAAAACTTGCCTTGATTTGCCCAGTGGGCCTGGGAATCACCCAGAGTGAGCGCAAGTACTGTGGTGTAATTGTAGTGCTGCACTAACGCGTGCTGTCAGGAATCTCTGAAGGGAACTGCGGTCGCATTGTGCACTTTGACATGTCAACCCAATCACTAAGGCAGTTGGAGAGTCGTC